GTCACTAATTTCATTATGAATGGTAGTAATTTCTTTGTTGAATTAAAGCAAATTGACTTTTCTATTTTTTCATTACTGGACATAATCAAGTCAACTATCTTTGTCCAGAAAAGTGAGGTTGTAGTGTCTGATATTTCCATATTTGAAGTTGCAATTGAAGGATTCAAAGTAGAATTTTCACTTATTGAAGTAGTTGATTCTGCTCTTCTTGGTTGAGTATATTCGATAATTAAGTTGGTTTCACCTTCTGCTGGTTTAGTGTTGAATGAAGATTGCGTAGTTTGGTTTGTTGGAGGTCTTCCTCTTTTGGTTGGCATTTTTTGAAGTGGGCCTGGATTTGGCTCAATTCCAGACATTAGTAGTAGTAATTGAGTTAGTTTTAAATTAACCATTGTAGAAATAAAATCAAGAGAAACATAATAGTCATAATATTCCTCAATGAAACAAAGTGTAATCGAAAACGCACCAATCTCCATGACGAATGGAGCGCCCCCCCATATATGTTTATTTAATAAGATTTATTAATTTGGAATAATGCAGTTCTAAGAATAGTTTAGTATCCAGTTGTAATAAGTTATATTGAGTCATTTTATATTTTGTTTACATTTACATTTTTTCCTTTATAATAATAATTTAGAAATACCTTTTAACATTCGAAAATTATTTTAAACTATTCTGTACATATTCTGTCATTTGTGATGGGCAATCAAAAATGACAGAATATGTAAAATACTGTTGCAAAGTCATACTTCTAAAAAGTTCAATTATTTATTTCAGTATAATTACAAAGTCTTTTTTATTTCTGTCAGATTTTTTGCTCTTTTTATTCTGTAAGCACTAAGAAGACCTTTTTATCAAGCCCATTTGCAAGGCTCACAATTGGACAACCTGGTGGTGAGGGATGGGCTCGACATATCTGGGACAGATCTCCAAAAATTTCTGGATTTTTTTTATTTATTTATTTCCAGGTTTTCAAGAGTAGTAGTTTGACAGCTTAGCTACATGAATATCTGGCCATCTATTTTTGTTTATTAGAAATTTTGTCATGCATAATATGACTATGAAAATAAAGTTTATTTAAATAGAATCAAATAAAGCGTAGTCTATTTAGGTTTGTATTAAACAGAGTAAACATTAAATAAGAATGTAGGCATATATTAAGAAAGCAAGAAAAATGTGGCACCAATTATGATAAAATTCAAGTTGAAGTAATGTTAGCAAATAGAAATTTTGGTTGAAAATAATTAACATTTCCTACTCTCTACTTACAAAGCAATTAAGAAGTTCCATCATATGGGTTAATATTTGTCTAAAATAAAACCGTAAAATATAAAATGTAGGTAAATTTTATTAATGATGTTAAAATGATAATACTATACAAATTTTTGATGGAAAAAGTTAAAACTCTCTTCCTAATAATTGTTTATAATAGGCAGATAGAAGTGGCATTATATAGCAAATGCTGGCAGTGTTACACAGTGAATGGCACTTGGAAACTATACACTACTCCATTTGCAATTATAGTAGAGCATCGATTAACCATCACATCGGTTAACCAACCGTTCTAGTCGGCAAATTTCAAATGTCCGCTAGTGATGTGGCATTACAATATTTAGTTATGTCTTGGCTATCTTAATATTATTTTTGTTAAATTTTTTCGTGTTTTAGTTGGCATCAACGGCTCGACCATTGAAGGGAGGCCAATATTTAAACGAGACTTAATTTTCTAATTATGAGTGGTTGTTTGTTTTGTGAGCAATAAAATAATTTAAAAATAATTTTTAACGATACAATAGCGACGATTATTATTTTAGAAAAAAATTTGTTAGTCTAAACATCAATGAAAATTCAACACAAAGTTGGTTAATAGCGATATACTGATAAACTAATTACATAGGATATACTAATATCCTAATATACTATACTAATAATGTATTTTTTCCTTCTTTTCAGTTATCCGACCAACCTGAGTCCCCAATTGAGTCGGATAATCGATGCTCTACTGTATTTGTATAATTACTTAACTGATAGTTAACATGGACTTCAGTAGGCAATACAGATTAATTTATATAGTTGATAAAAAAAAGTTCTTGTTCATCTGAAACATATAAAGGAATAGACCATTCTTTCTAGATAACGCAGTGTAATTAAACATTATATGGTTTAGTAGATGTCACAATATTGTTTCTTATTGATATTTAGAAAAATTGCATATGCTGAAAACCATTCAGAAAAATTTGCACATTTTTTTGTTAAAGTGTCCATTTTTGTCCATGTATCATATTGGAAATTTCAAAGATATCAAGATATTAATGTACATTAATATCTTGATGTTTAGCAAAGGCTGCAAGGACGGTGCTGTTCACGTTTTTAGTAATAGAATACTTATGTTTTTTAATCCTCTGTTTTAAAAGTCTCATAGTGGCACCAACGTAAACGAGATCTGAATTAAAACAACGGTCACTTAAAGGAATAGAATAAACTCCTGTACTATTGTTACGGTTTCCTTTCTTCTTATCATTTCGTAAAATTCTATATATCGTCAGATTACGTCGATAAATAACTCTTAAATTATTCTTGTGAGATACTTTTTTAATCATCGATTGTAGGAAAGGTATATTTATCCGACAAAGAAATTTAATTTTATATGCTCTTTACAGTAATGTGAATTTCCAACCTGCTAAACAGTAATCAATAGTTTACATTTAGTGTATAAATGTCTCTAATAGCCCAATAGTTATATTAAAGCCAAACGATTTTCTGGATTAAATTGGACTATATTATTGCTACTATTAATAATTAAATACTGAGTAATTTGGCCTAGAGATAAGCATTAAGTGCCATATCTTATTAANACATATCAATCTTGAAAAATTTCTGGGGTTCCCAATCCACAGACTTGAATCTAAATCACTCTGAGTGATATCACCTTTACCCCCTTAGCCATCCAGCCATCTTTCCAACTCTCTGGAAGAATTAACTTATTCCACAGTAGTAACAATGTTTAATTTATTTTTTGGAAAAAATATTGCATGGGCTAAAGTTGAATTAATTTGTATTTTCATTTTTTGTAAAGTAATCAAATGATTATGATGTAAAATTTTAGGATGAAATGTCTTCACTCTCTCCATAATAATTAATCAGACAAAAGCAACTAGTGTCACCTGACAAAATTATTTGAACTAGCTGAAATTCAATACTGTATTACAGATACGAAGACTAATAAAATTAATTTCTAGGAATAATTATTATTACAGACGATATACATATATATAAAATCTCTAAGTCTGATAGTTATAGTAAAGCCAAATTATTGGGGATTAAATAGGGCTAGATTACCACTACTATGATGAAGAATTGGTAAACATGAGATAGTGCTACGTAAGCATTGGGCACACTGCTCAATTCAAGCAAATAATAATTAAATTAATATTTATTAAATAATTTAGAAAATTCTGGAAGAAAAGGATTGGCCTGGAATGGGACTTGAACCCACAACTACCACTTACCATGCAGATGCATTGCCAGTTATGCTACCCAGACCTCCATCTGATCCTTCTCTTCCATACATACAATAGAGCATTTCGGATAACCGAAAGTCGGTTATCAGAAAGGATTCCAGTCGGCAAATTTAAATATTTGCAAGTGCTGTGGCACTGCAATCTTTGGCTATATCTTGGGCTACTCCAATATTTTGTTTTGTTGGTGTGTGTGTTTTAGCTAGCAGCACTGGCACTTTTGTGTGGTGTTTTTCTGAGGACTGTGTGTGGTGCTGAATCGAACGTTTTTGATACTAGATCAACTTCTAAAGTATATATTTTTTTGGTTTTTATATTTTCCAATATATTTATTTTGTTTGTACAAAATAAAGAAATAATTTTTAATGATACAATAGCCACAATTATTATTTTAAAAAGTTTACATTAGGATTAACATCGATGAAAATTCAATGTGAAGCAATATGTAACGGAGAAAAATTTCAACATGGGATAGGTTAATATATTTTTTCATACATAATTGGTTATCCGAAAAATAAGTTATCTGAATGACCCCAGTCCCCAATTGATTCGGATAAACGATGCTCTACTGTATTTAATTTAGATATAAGACTCAATACCCATGGCCTGTAATTGCACACTATGGTACTTAGCTGGCTATCATTTTACCCTGGCATGGGTTAAAGCAATAGCAAAATCAAAAAACAAATAAATTTTAAGAAAGAAAAAACAACAGAAAACATTATTTAAGTAAAAAAACATGGCGGCCGGATGGCCGATCAGTCAAGATGTCAGCCTACTGCTCTGGGGATCCGGGTTTGAATCTGAGCGGGTCGAAAAGTCCCCAGGAATTTTTCACGGGTGGTCTGTTCGGATATGTTGAACCCAGACCCTCACCACCTGGCAGCCCCATTGTGGGGCTGGCCAGGTGGTGAGGCCCTCTTAGTGCCTACAGGGCAGAAGAGTTAAAAAAAAAAAAAAAAAGTAAAAAACATGGCTGATGGTATTACATTTAATTGTAGAAATAAATATAAACATACAACATTTTTACAAAGGTAAATACTTTTGCTTTTGTTTCTCTTCCATTGTTCACACCAGCAACAATTCATAATATTCACAAGTATGGAAGTGACCTTTCTTTTGAGTCTCCACAATAAAATGCAAATATGGTAAAAAAGCATCCTCTGGTGCTCTTTCCTATTATCACAATAATACGTTTAAGTAAAAAATAGTAAAAAACATGGCCAACGGTATCACATTTAATTGTAGAAATAAATATAAAAACTTTTGAATTTTATGGACTGTCGCTTGTGTGAATGACAGAAGAGAAATGGAAGCAAAGTATTTACCTTTGTAAAAACATTGTATTTTTATATTTATTTCTACAATTAGAATGAATACATGTTTTATATTAAAATAAAAAAGTTTTTTGCTAAATTTTATAAATTAATATAATTTTATTTTTTATAATTTACATTAATTTTTTTAACTTTTTATATACAGTTATGGCAAATAATATGAATCGAGTGTACCCTGTCCCTCCTCCACCACCGGGCCCGGTAAATCCATCAGGTCCTGTTCCCGTACCAGTTCCTGTTCCACCACCACCTAATCAAGTTCCACCTACACCTCAAGTACCACCAGCGACTGCTCCAATTGCAATGGGACCTGCACCACCTGGGCCTGGCATGAGACCTCCTGATAGACCTCCAATGCAAGTACAGCATGGCCCTCCAACAGGAAGACCATATGGTGCACCAACTCAAACTTATCAGGTTTGTAATAATTTGTTTAATAGATTGATCTAATTACATTTTTGTATGACTCTGATGAAGCTGTAGCTGTCAAAATTACTTTTTATTTCTTGAAACACTAAAGAGATAAATGACATATTTAAGACATATGGGACTTCTATCAATTATTTTCATTCTACAGTGGTACCTCAGGATACGAAATTAATCCGTTCCGAAACTGAGATCGTATCATGAAAATGTTGTAAGGTGAATCATTTTTCCCCATATGATTACATGTAAAACCAAATAATTTGTTCCAACACGAAAAATACACTCAAATTAAAGCTAAGTTGTACATTAAAAAAAATAACTATAGTAAGGAAAACACTGAAAAATGCATTTTGTAGTTGTAAATGTATAAATAACCATAATAGAATAATAATTGATTAAAAAAAATGTAGCTATATTTGCACTTTACCTTTGAGTATAGACGATGGTGGAGGTGTAAACTGATGGCGGAAGAGTGGGAGAAGGGAAATGATACTAAAACTTAACTTACATAACATAATGTAACAATAACTTAGAAAAGATTAAAAAATTAGTGTTGTTTTATATATTTTTTTAAAATTTTTATTCACTGCTTTTTGCTTTCTTTCCTTCACTTCCACCAGCACTTTCACTGGATAGAGGTTGCTTGGTAAAATATCTATCCAAAGAGGTTTCACTTTGCCTACTTTTTAAAATGTTTGTACAATGACTTAGACAAATGTCATTACTCTGAGCAGCAATACGGCCAGTGTGAACCTTGTCGGGATGTTTCTTTTCAATAAAATCAGTCACTTTCTGATAATACCTCAATATTTCCTTTATTGAGCGAGATCCTTCCATGAAGCAAACATGCGGACTGAGACCGAAGTGAATAAAAAAAATGGCACTGCGAACTAATGTAACGTCGTATGGTGAGTTTTTGTTCGTATCGTGGAGCAAAAATATGTTCGAATTTCATGTCGTATCCTGAAAATTTTGTATACTGGGGTGTNAAAAACAAATGAAAAATGCGAACTAATGTAACGTCGTATGGTGAGTTTTTGTTCGTATCGTGGAGCAAAAATATGTTCGAATTTCATGTCGTATCCTGAAAATTTTGTATACTGGGGTGTTCATATCCTGAGGTACCACTGTACTTGGTTTGGAAAAATTATTAAAATTATCAATAAATAAATATTGTTTTACAAAACTTAAAATTATGAAGAACTATGTTTTTGCATCATATCAAAAATATAGTATCAGTTCTATCCAAAAATTATTCTATTGCTACTATAGTTGTAAGATATCAGTTTTATGAATAAATTTATAAAAGGATCTATTCAAATAAAATATTTTTTAAAGCTTTCTTTTATCCAGATACAGACTAAAAATTTATTATGTTTAAAGTAATTAGATAGTGAATTAAGTATATATGATGAATGTTTTGGCCTATTTATGCAGTTGATTAAATTCTGGATTAATGTAGTGTGTGTCTCTCAGACCCTTTACATAATTTTCTTTTATTTTATAAAATAAGAACAAATATTATTGCTTAACAAGTCAATTTGCTTTTTACAAAAATTAAATAATTAAAAGACTATATTATATCTAAATAGAACTACTTAGTTAAGGCAACTGATTATATGTTTATTAAATAAACATTTTCAGTTTTATTACAGCCAACTTCTGCTTTACAAATGTATAATGAATATGATTAAATATTTAGCTAGTTTTCCTGATTAATAAATTAGTTTTATGTTTCTGAGAAGATTGTTAATTATTTTTTCCATAATGATACTTATGTAATAAGACAAAGCTACATCAACTGCCATATAAGATTGGGCTATAAGTTGGTGTAACTTTATATTGGATTGTTCGGAAAGCAATTTTGTTTTTTTCATGGGAAAAAAATAATTTTCTTATAATATATAAATATTGTATTGAATTATATATTGACCATTTAGTCCAATACCTTTTGTCATCTTTCTGGTAGTAGCATGATTCCACACTCATAAAAGTTTTGATTTTTGCTTACAAAAAACTGATCCAAGTGATTTTTGACATCCTTGTTTGAAGTGCATATTTTACTGTTTAAAAAGTTTTGTAAAGACCAGAACAAGTAATAATCCAAGAGTGCCAGATCTGGCGAATATGGCACATCCAATCCAAGCTGTAAAAGCTTCTGACGAGTTACCAAACCTGTGTGAGGTCTGGCATTATCATGGTGAAACACTACACTTTTTCTGTTTATCAATTCTGGTCGTTTTTGTTTGATGGTATCATTCAATTTGTCCAGTTGATCACTTCCAAATCAATTGTGAAATTGTCTGGTAGAAGCTTTAAAAAAAAAAAATAATTTCCTTAAAATCCCATCAAACAGAGAGGAGAGTATAACTTTGTTTTTTTGGATCAACATTAGCTTTTGAAGTGCTCTGAGCCGGCTCATTTCGTCTACTCCATGATCACTTGCATTCGACATTGTTATAAACAAGCCATTTTTCGTCATCANTCTTGGGGTCATTGGATGGCTAGGAGGGCAAATCGAGTGGGGAGTGCGTCGGTAAGTCGGCAGGCGTCCTTAAGTGACAGGAGACAGGTTAACAAAATAACAAAGCATTTATTGAATAACTAAATCTAACTCTACAAGAGGTGAACTTACTACTAAGGTTAAATGCGGTTATATTAAAATATTTACAGAAATTGGCAATGAATTTCGTAGCTATGTCGCTGACCTAATTTATAGTTCGAGAGAGAGCGCTTTTACAAATTCTAACCCCTAAATACCTCTCGGTGGAAGGGAGGGTTGTTGGCGAATGTCGTCTGTATGGAAGAGTGTAGTGTCTTCCATGTCTTCTTGCTGATGTCCTCTCTCTGTAGCTGGATCAAGTCTGCTGTATGGAGGTTCGGGAGTCGAGGTGGGCACTATCACAAAGTACAACTTCTTATGACGAATTGCCCTGAGCTTCCGGAGATTCGAGCTTTTATATCATTGGCGTGGGAAAACTGTCACGTGATTGACTTTTGTTGACGATGATGGTGCATTCTTCACACCTAACTGTAAACTTCCTCAGCTAGTCGTTATACAATCGGTGAAATCTGATCTAGTTCAAATTCTTTGGGTTTTTTCCGAAGACAATTAACAGAAAATTTATATTTTTAAAATGCCCGAAAAAATCCGCGAGCTCACATTTTGATAATAAGCAATAACTTGGAACTTTTTATAAAGAATAAAAAAATTGTAAGTCTTTTATCCAAACAAAAATATCTGATATGTAAAAATTTGACAATTTGGTCAAAATTTTTCTTAGCAGTTTTCCTTCAGTAAAAATAAGCTTGGTGCTTAAAGCTGAAATTTAAGGTAAATATAGGGTAAAAATCTTGTGGGTAATGCTTCCAAGCACCAAGCTTATCAATATTCATTTCAGTCAGTGCCAACCAACGCTTTTGATACATCATTTAGAAAAACCATTATAAAAAGTTTTAATTGGTGTAAATTTGAGTTTCTGTAATTTTGAATAAAATTCATTTGTTTCTATGCAATTTTATGTATATAAGCATAAAATTAAGTTGTAAAACTGAATTAGCTCTATAACTTTGACCTATTGACCTGGAAGTTTCACAAGCACCTCACTGATAATGAGAAAGGAATAAGTTTAAAATTTGAGCTTTCTAGACCCAGTAGTTTTTTTCTCTATGAGCACCTGCAGTGCCAGATGAAGAAAAGGAGGCGGAGGAGAAAATAAAGCTTTTTTGGTGATTTTTTGCACTTTTCAATTGCTTATATTTTGACAACTGCTTTATAGAAAATCTTGAAATTTTGCACACTACCCAAAAAAACAAGTTTCTTTTGAGCAAGATATTCGGAATTACTATAGGTGTTTGGGGTGGAGAAATCAACTCCCGAAAATAGGCAACTCTGATTCCTGTATATATGATTTTTTTTTTTACAAAGGTTGATGTCATGAGTCACAGCAGTAACTCCTGACATCAGCTTTTGTAGTTATGAATATTTCAATTTTATAATTTAGAATTTTGAAAATGAAGTTGTTTTATTAAATTTTTAAGGTCAAATAGTAGATTAACTATGCTGTTTACTATTATATTGGATTATAAATTGATTTTTAAATGGGGAAGCATTATTTTGGTTCTTTAAGTATTGTTTTTAGAAATTATGTGTTATTTCAGAGACCTGCTTATCAGCCTGGTCCAGGAGTTGGAATGCAAGGAACTCCGCCACCGCCCCCACAGGGTATGCATGCTAGAGTAGGTCAGGGTATGCCTCCACCACCAAATGCTTATCCACCTAGTCGCATGCCTCCTCAAGGTCCGATGGGATCAATGGGGCTGGATTCTTCACGTAAACGCCCTGTACCTGACCGTGTTTCAGATGGACGTAGTCAAGGTCCTCCACCTCCTAAAGGGTAATCTAATATCAGAATAAAATCTGATGTTTTGTTCACAGAATATAAACCATTATTTAATTGAAAGATTCTATTTCTCTATTTTAAGGCACAATGTGACTTTTAAATAAAATTTTAAGATTTTTCTTTTAAAGAAAGAAAGAAAAAATTTTGAATAATCAATTTTATTAAGTTTTGTTAAGTAACAAGAAGTTAGAAAAACAATACAAATACCATGAAATAGGTAGTTGCTAGTTTCATTTATAAATCGCAAAGAAGAATTTTTATTGTTTCTCATTATGTCTGAAAAATAAATGAATATTTTCATAAAACATTGATCTTTTTAAATTAATAATTGTATGATCTGAAATTGCTTTTGAATTTTAGTAATTATTCTAAGTATCTATTTTCCTGTTTAATCAAAATAAATTTTGAATATAATTTAATAGTTTGTTACTTATAATTATACAGGATTAAGATGCGTATAAAAATTTTTTATTTATATTTTTGTTGTAAAATTATTATTTAAAAAATGTAATTTTATAATGTATAATTGATTTTAAAAGTAATAGTTGACTTTTTTAAGCTATATAACTTAAATCATATGGATTTTTGATATCTTTGTTAACATTATTAGTTTTTTAATAAATAGTGCCCCTCCGGGAGGACCCCAAGTTGGAACAGCCACTTCAGGAGGTGGTGGAAGTAATAAAAAGAAAAAAAAATTATCTGATAAAATTCTTCCTCAGAAAGTAAGAGATCTAGTACCGGAATCCCAAGCTTATATGGATTTATTGGCATTTGAACGGAAATTAGATTTCACTATTATGAGGAAAAGATTGGATATACAAGAAGCATTAAAGCGGCCAATGAAAGTAAGAATAAATGTTTTGAATTTAATTTTATTGATTTTCTGGTGTTAATTATTATTTATTTATTATTATTTCTAAATAGCAAAAAAGAAAACTTAGAATTTTTATATCTAATACCTTTTATCCGGGAAAACCTGAAGGAGATACTGCAGAGGAACCAACAGTGCCCTCGTGGGAATTGCGTGTAGAAGGAAGATTGTTAGATGATGTAAGATATTAGAAAAATTAGTTTTTTTTTTATTTTTTAAATTATGATTTTGTCTCAGATATTTTATATTTAAATTCACAGCCAAATGCTCCAAAGTCAGATCAGAACAAAGTTAAACGAAAATTTTCATCGTTTTTTAAGAGTCTAGTTATTGAACTAGACAAGGATCTATACAAGGACGGTGCTGTTCACGTTTTTAGTAATAGAATACTTATGTTTTTTAATCCTCTGTTTTAAAAGTCTCATAGTGGCACCAACGTAAACGAGATCTGAANACGGAAATTAGATTTCACTATTATGAGGAAAAGATTGGATATACAAGAAGCATTAAAGCGGCCAATGAAAGTAAGAATAAATGTTTTGAATTTAATTTTATTGATTTTCTGGTGTTAATTATTATTTATTTATTATTATTTCTAAATAGCAAAAAAGAAAACTTAGAATTTTTATATCTAATACCTTTTATCCGGGAAAACCTGAAGGAGATACTGCAGAGGAACCAACAGTGCCCTCGTGGGAATTGCGTGTAGAAGGAAGATTGTTAGATGATGTAAGATATTAGAAAAATTAGTTTTTTTTTTTATTTTTTAAATTATGATTTTGTCTCAGATATTTTATATTTAAATTCACAGCCAAATGCTCCAAAGTCAGATCAGAACAAAGTTAAACGAAAATTTTCATCGTTTTTTAAGAGTCTAGTTATTGAACTAGACAAGGATCTATATGGACCAGATAATCATTTGGTAGAGGTAAATTAATGTAAATTTTTATGTTTTTATAATCATTAATGTGTAAAATTGCGTAGAAAGATGGTGGATAATCAAGTAAGATGCTTACAAAAATACACCTCTATCTCTCTTTCTTCCGTGATATATGCCAGATTTCTTTTATTAAAATCAATTGAAAATACTACTTTATTAATAAAAATTGTTGGAAAAAGAAATATAATTATGTATATTTCCGACTATTTTATATATATACATTTCTTTATTGATTATTCCTGGAATGATATCGCCACGAATGAAATTTTTATTTATTAAATTATAGAAAATTATACTTAAGCATTGTTTGAATTATAAATAAATCAATATAATTTTTATTATATTTTAACAAGCTTGGGTNTCAAAACTTCTTCTTCCAAGAACGTCAGTCTATGAGGCGTTAAATATACTTGAAATTATTTTAATTTACGAGCGCTTTCGACGTAAATAAGCACGTTGTCTTCAGGTAAAATTAAATTCGAATAAAGAAATCGAACCATACATTTAAATTTAAAACATTAACGATACTAGCCGTTTTTGAACATACAAAAAAGATTTTAAATTTAAATTTTTAGAATTTAATGTTATGAGAAATGTTATAAGAAATGTATGGTTCGATTTCTTTATTTGAATTTAATTTTACCTGAAGACGACGTGCTTATTTACGTCGAAAGCGCTCGTAAATTTAAAATAATTTCAAGTATATTTAACGCCTCATAGACTGACGTTCTTGGAAGAAGAAGTTTTGATTGACATAAGTTGGCGTGACATCCAACCCGTGAACTTAATCATCATTGCTAAATTAAATAATTAGAAATTTAATTTTGAGTAAATATGTTACAAATCATTAATAGTAATTTTGTGTTTTTTAAACTATATTTTAAATGATATTACGATTTGCTACTTAGCTTTTCATACAAAACATTTTCATGATTCTGCATATCACTTGTTGTTTTGCCTAGATGCTACAGAACTAGAAGTAATTTAGTTTAGAAATAATAGTAATAATAAATTTAGTAGTAGTAATAAAATGGATAAGTGGATATTTTTAAAAATGTCTTCAAAGTGATTAAAAGAATTTGAGATAATGATATTTATGTCAAATTACTGTATATTTTAGATAGCCAACACATTTTGTGAAACAGAAAACATTCAGAATGATATAGAACATAAGCTGACTGTAGCCAGCTATTTGATTAAATGTTTTTTCATTTAATATAAAAATTGGTTTGATTTTATTTATTTGTAAACATGGTATGAACTTTTATGATAATATTTAAAACTGATCATTTGGGTCAATTTTAAATATCATTATTTCAAAAACAATAAATTTTGATAGAAGATTAATGATATTATTTTTAACAAAATACTCTTTGCCACACAAAAACACTTAACTTTATCCACAAAAATACTAACATATTGATTAATAATCAAATATATGTATTTATCTACAGTACTTTATATAATAGCTTAAAATCATCACAATACTTTATTCCACTTAGAAAAATGGTAATGATGGCATTGGGAATCAATGAATCATCATGAAAGTTTTGAATAAGCAAGCAAAGCCCTCTAGTTTCTTAAAGTTTTTTAAAAATTATTAATTTTTTTTGCAAAAGATTAAAACCACTCATTAAACTTTAAATTGAAAACTTTTTCAAACATACTTAGTTTAGTTGTACTAAAATTGTTCAAAAAAATTTCAACATGTTTATATTATACAAACAAAGTGATAAAGTAATCTTATTTTTTAATTTAGATATTTCAGTGTCCTCGTATGAAATTTGCAGAGATTCCACAACGTTTACATCAGTTACTGCATCCAGCAGATCCCATTGTTATCAATCATGTCATCAGGTAATTCTAATATTCATGTCAAGTCACATTATATCTGTCTTTTAAATAACTTAAACAGAAATTTCTTTTCTAGCGTGGAAGGTCCTGATACTAAAAAGACTGCATGCTACGATATTGATGTGGAGGTGGTAAGAACTGACTTAATAAACCTGTAGTTTAGATGTGAATTTGATGCAACTTTTAGCAACTGTTTATTTTTTGTCATACAGGATGATCCTTTAAAGGCCCAGATGAATAATTTTCTTCTGTCTACAGCCAGTCAGCAAGAAATTCAAGGATTAGATAATAAGGTAAATGATGGTGACTTTACAGATACAAAGTCTTTTAAAGTCTTTCTGACAGGATTTGTACTTTTCAGATTCACGAGACAGTGGAGACAATTAATCAGTTGAAGACTAATAGAGAATTTTTCCTTAGTTTTGCTAAAGATCCCCAACAATTCATCAATAAATGGCTTATATCCCAAATGAGAGATTTAAAAGTAAGTTTTTTAAAAACATATTTTGAAATCTTACCGATTTAGAATGTAATATAATAAAAAATTTCCATCCAAGACGATGACGGACGTTGTCGGAAACTCCGAAGAAGAAAGAAAATCGGACTTCTACTACCAACCCTGGGCACAGGAGGCAGTGTGCCGTTATTTTTACGGAAAGGTCCAGCAGCGTCGGGCCGAGCTCGAACAGGCCCTCGGCATCCGAAACACTTAAATCTAGATCTGACGATTTTTTCCATTCATTTACTATAGTGTTTACACATAAATCATTAATTAATGTAGAATTTGTTTTTTTGCACAAGAAACAACTTGTAATAAACCATCATAAAAAAATATTNTCGCTAAATATAGAAATTAGAGCATTTTAATTTAACAAAAAAATTATGTATTTCATTTTTATATGTATTATATATTTAGTGCCAAACAATCACTAGATTATTTATTAAGTTACATTAAGGCTAATTTAATGTAGCCTGATAAATAATCCAGAAGATCTTTGGCAATATTAATTGAATCAGATTGTTAATCTTTCTTATAATAAACAATCCTTTCTGTGCTGCTGATGTGCATTTTTTCCTTTGTAATAATACTTGTTGATAAGTCCTTGAATCAAGCTATCTGGATAACAATGTTGCTATATCACATTGCCAAGTACAGAGATATCAAAGATCATTCAATATAACAAAAGTTTAAAGTCTTTCTGACACTAATAGCTCCAGCTGTCTCCTTATAAATCTCATACCTAAATGCATTATGCATCCAGGGATTTATAGAGAGCCAGTTAAAGATGACCAGTTTGGCATTCCTGGATACTGCATGTATGATTATATGGAAAAAAACAATAGTCTGCATTTGGGTAGCTACTGTTAATTTTGTCGCTAAATAGATGTATCTACTGTTGTTGTAAAGGAATAAGAATTGAAAAATGTCACACAACCAATCAAAATCAGAGTTCATTTATAGCACATGTTCTATAGATCATATGCCATAAATGAAATCTAATATAAGACATGATGTTAACCTTATATTATACCAGAAAACTTGGAATTACCACCATTATTTCTTTCTCACTTAAAGGATTTCAAGAATTCATAGCAAATTTTGATTTAAAAGGCATTGAAATTTGCTTATATGCTAATAGTAGTTATATATTTATTAAATACATTTTAATTACTTTTTTTATTTATACTTGTTTGAGATGAAAATAATTCCTGTTCAGATGATAATAACAGTGGCACATCCATTTCTGTCAGTATGGTTTATTTTACCTTTTAAAATATGCCTTCTTAATTAAAATGTTCATGTTCCATAAACCTTTTATCCTAAATATCCAACTTGCGCATATCCGATCAACACCACTTATAAATATACAGTATATAAAAATTTGTACATGTAATTCATACATTTAATTGTATAATACATACATAAGTAACAGGAATAGCTTTATGATAATTTAGATCTAATATTACAATAATTTTATTTTGCATGTTTATCAATGCTGACAACTGTTTATTTCCAATTAATTGTGCTTTAAAGTTGGTTTGTAGGTAGTCTTTTTAGTGATGGGCAAAGTAATTGTTACTCTACTAGTGTTGTGCAATGACTTCAAGCCATTGATGATTGATTACATCTAGTCAAAGAGAGGTATCTATAAATTATGTAATGGGTGTTTATACTAGTAGTACGAGACTATGAGATGGGAGTGTTCTTTATACAGTGTTGCATAACTTTATATAATGTCATAGATTACAAATTTTTTGTGGTAGGAAAGTAAAGACCTTTTCTATAAAAGAAATTATTCATTTATATCATCTATAAAAGAAATTATGGTTAAGTAACTGTTAAAAAAGGATTTTTGCTTAATAAAGATGCATCCATAATATAAATATATCAGAAAAAGCATTGGTTCAAACCTTTATTATATAAGTATAGAAAGAATCATATTGTTCATGCTAGTAGTATCACAAACATCATTGTAAGAAAGGAACCATTGACTTCAGCTTGTTTTACAAGCCAGGGGGTACCACACACAAATTAAATAGACAGAAAGCAAATCAAAAAGTGAAAGAAAAAGCAAAAAAGAGAAAATTATAGGAAGTAGAAATTTCAGAGCTAAGAAAAAAGAGGAGGCTGCTGAAATCATATGCTAGAATGTTATGTAAGGATTCAGAAGAATTTGCTTTGAAGGCAGAAGAATCAAGAAAAATAGAATACATTGTAAAATGAAACAGATCAAGAAAAAATGCAAAATAATAAAGAAGCAGAAGTTGAGAAACAAATAGTGAAAAATGAAAGGCTCTTATGAATTGTACATAAGTAACATGTAAAAAATAACCACATGTACACAGAGTATTCATGTTAAATGTGTGTAAATAAATATAAATATTCATTGATGATATTGTTTGCTTTCCCTTAACCCTCTCAATGCTATCAGATTAACAAAAATAAAATTTCACTGTTTTTGCAAAATTTGCTTTTAGATAATTTTTTAAATTGTGATACCTCGCTTCAAAATTGTGCTAAGATTAATCTGCCTTTTGATTTTTGTCATAAACATATCATAGTTTATGATGATTTAATGTTTAATTAATGTAATAAAAATTTAAAATATTATTTCAAATTTCTGAATAAACACAAAATAAAAAATTTATTTAAAAAGTTCTGCTCAATTTGCTACTTAAATTACTTAGAAATATATGTTCTCTCTTAAATAAAAGAAACCTGAGCTTTCAACATTGAATGATAATGAGTATATGGTCCTTTGTTTACATGCCTCTCCCCTACTCATTATATGTCGCATGGGATGTCTGATTCCCACAATTCTAGGTCAAGTTACTATTTGTTTATGTAATGTATACTAGATATAAGACACTATTTACATATTATTACAACAATGAACTATAATAAGCAATTTTATAAGCAATTATTTATAAATCATATTTTTTCATGCCTTATTTGTTTTAAAGTGAATAGTGCATTTTCTTCTGTATGTAAGGTTCAAAATTATGGCCAAATATCAATTCAATCAATTTAAAATTGATATTCAATTTTTAACAGATAATTCTTTAGAGTTTTGAAAGTTTTCTTATGTGTGAAATAGGTTAAGTTTACAGAAAAAGTTCCAGATGTATTCAACAGGCTTTGCCAATGTATTTATTAGTATGTTTATTTTATTATAGTTTGTTGCAAATGTTTTGTACATCAAATTCCTCCACTTCTTGTTTGTTTTTCAAACTCTGAGGTTTTCTTTTGCATTGTTTCAATTTTTTGTTCTGTGTGAAATTTTTTGTTGTATTTGACAACTGTAAGAAGTGGACATGACAAGAAGACAATTAGAAGAGGAATTGAAAATGTTAGTGGAATTTTTTCCAATTCATTCGAATTCTTTTCAGATTCCAAAAGTAATACAGATATTGATCAGGGAAGTACTGATTTTCCTTCTGATATTACAAGTTTGTCAGGTTTGTCTGCAACTAGCACTTATCAAAGAAAACAATTCCCTTTTAGAGGAAATTATGGTATTAAACTTCCAATCTTGGTTCCAAATAATGTTTTAGAGATATTTGAATCTATTTTGACAGATAGAAAGGATAACAAATCTTATTTATGAAGAAACAAATAAGTATGCAGAGGAATTTATAATTAATGTAAGCAGCAGTTATTCCAGACTGAATAAACAAAGTAGGATGATGGCTTGGAAAGACATAACACTGGCAGAAATCCATCTAATAGAAGTTTTCCTTCTAATGGGCATTATCTCAAAATCTACTTTACAATCTTACTTTTCACCTAATGAAATCATAAATACACCAATTTTCTATCAAATAATAAAGAGAGAGAGAGATTTTTATTGCTACTAAAGTTTACTTGGTTTTATCTTTTCTACTTTTCTAGTAGCAAAGATAAAACCAACAAGTTACACAAAATAGAAGAACTACTATAATTACAGTAGAGCGTGGATTATCCGAAAGAATTCCAGTCGGCAAATTTAAATTTTCGCCAGTGCTGTGGCACTGCAATCTTTGGCTACTTCTTGGGCTACTCAAATATTTTACGTTTTTGATACTAAATCAACTTCTGAAGTATAATTTTTTATTGTTTTTATATTTTTCAATATTTTTATTTTGTTTGTACAAAATAAAAAAATAATTTTTAACGATACAATAGTTTTCATTAGGCTTAACATAGATGAAAATTCAATGTGAAGCGACACGCAATGGAGAAAAACTTCAACATGGGATAGGTTAATATATTTTTTCGTACATAATCAGTAATCCGAAATATCAATTTTCCAAACAACCCCAGTCCCCAATTGATTTGGATGATTGATGCTCTATTGTATATAGGAGCAGTTTTCAAGCTGCATATGCTCCCTCATGTAACATATCAATAGACGAAAGCTTATTGTTATGGAAAGGGAGATTACAATGGAATATTTACATACTGCTAAAACAAGCCAGATTTAGTATTGAGTGCTTTTTACTCTGTGAGGCCAAAACTGTCTACATGCACAATTTCATTATACATACAGGAAAGGGAACAAAGATCTCTGTAAATGTACCTGATGTAGACCCATCAAAACAAAATCACTTGACTAACATAGTACTATCCCTAATGGAAGACTTTTTGGGCAAGGGTTACTGCTTGGGGATAAACAATTATTATTCTAGTGTCTATCTGTTTGATTATCTTGTAACCCATCAGACTGATGGGATTTGAACAGTAAGAAAAAACCAGAAAGAACTGCCAAAAGAGGATGTAACAGCTAAGCTGAAAAAAGGGGAGATGGCAGTTATGTATAGGAATAAACTGATATTTATGAAATGGCATATGAAAGAGGTATTAATAATGAGTACAACTCATGATGTTACCATGCAGATGACTAGAACAAGAAAAAATATCAAAAGGCAAAAATCTAAGGTACAAGCACTGCATGGGAGGATGGGTTTGACGGACTAACTACTGTCATCATCCAACAGTATGAGAGTGCAGATAAAAACATATTTGAGATTTTTGGATATGTCTGTGCTTGAATGCACATATTATCTGTAAAGAATTAGGAGGGAGATTGACATTAGTTGACTTTAAATTGAAATTGATCAAAGAGATTCAACAAATATGGAAAAGCTATAGAGATTGGCCAAATAAGAACATTGTCATCGTCTTTGCTTAGCTGCCTCATCAGTCAACATTTTTTTGGATGAATCAGAGATAAGAGAAAATAGAAATTTATGAAGAACTTGTGTGGTGTGTGTTTCAAAAAAAAAAAAAAGACTATTTTTAATGAAATATTTTTATAAGCTGTGTAATGTAAATTGCCCAACAAAGTGCTTTGAAGACTACCATACTAAACTAAACCACTAAAGCTTTTTTTAGTGTTACTTTTTATTTTTTGTAAATATTTTTATACTCTTTTGTATATATTTTTATATTATTTTGTTTTATCAATTATAATTATTTTGTTACTTTTACTTTTATAACTTATTACTTTTTATAAAAAATGAATTAGTAGATATATTTTATTTAAAAATAAACTACAAAACATAAATTATGAACTAATCTACCACCCCTATTGTTTAGCTTTATCAGAAAGTATTATCAAAAACAACATAATGCAAAGAAATTTTTTAGGATAATTTTTTACCATTACAAAATCAGGCTAGAATTTATATGTTTTTGTTTTTATCACAAACATATCATGGTTTACAATGGCTAAATTTTGATTTAATAAAATGTGAAATAATATTTTAACCATGTCATTTACCATCCTGAAATTTTGAAACATGGTCCTTGAAAGGTTCTTTGAAAAATCTTTGAATCCAGTTTTGCCAAAGCTGTGGGAACCCTGCATTGAGCCAGTACTGTTTGTTTTTCATGATTTGTTTTTTTTTTTCCTCCTCTTAGTTATATCCTGTTGACTTTAATATATTATGTTTTCCAGATCTCAGCAATACCACATAGTGAAGACAAAGAAGACACAACTACATACACACATATCACGATACCAAACTAAATTTTTATTGTTTCAGGTTGCCAGATATTCCCCTGGTCAAGATTACAATGCATCAATGAGATATTGCAACAATACTGTATTTTTATGATTTTAATATAACAAGTCATATATGTCTATATAAATTGTATAATTTAAGTATTTCATTAATTTGTAGTGGATTTTTCATTAATCTTAGCAAATATTTAGTTAAATGTCAGAATAATACATTTTTGAAATTTCAAAATCTTTTTTAAAAGAATAAAAAAAAATGATTGTGTAATTTCTTTTTTGTTAGTGGCATCGCACACCAACAACAACAGAAACAGATGGATTTCAAGTGAAAAGACCTGGAGATAAAAATGTTCGATGTACCATCTTATTGTTGTTAGATTATCAGGTAATAAAAGACAGTTTTTAAAATTTGAGATTTTTCATATTTATTAAAAAGTTGTAATTTTTATTCACAAAATTTGATTATTTTCAGCCACTGCAGTTCAAATTAGATCCTCGACTAGCTCGTCTTTTGGGAATCCATACACAGACTCGACCCATGATAATTAATGCTCTTTGGCAGTACATTAAAACTCATAAACTGCAAGATGCCCACGAGAGAGAATACATCAACTGTGACAAATATCTTGAACAGGTAAGTAAAATGCATTGCTTTAATAGTTGAAATTTAAACATTTTAAATTGGTGTTCTTGTGTACAGAAACTTCAATTTTTGAATATCTAGTTTCATTTTAACAAAGAGTTTATTAATTGAAGTGTGCAATGCCATGATATTCTAAATGCCATTTTTCTCTAAATACATTTTATTCAAGAATTGAATTATAAATGTAATGTTTTCTGCCATAAAAGAATATTGTGGCGATATCGGCACTGTAAGTGGCTGTATTTTGAAGATGAATTTATGTGAAGATATAATATTTAAAGTGTCGGAGTGCAAGTCACGTGACTTTTGGCACTTAAAATGTTACAGCTTATATTTACATCATTTTGATATTCCAGAGAATTTGTAACCTAGTGATTTTTTTACCATTTTATTGTAAAATTGAAATGAATTCATTCATTAGAAAAAAACCTCTTTTACCTCTCCTGAAAAAATTTTTTTTGGCATTTACAACATTATGACATTGGATACTTCAATTATTCAAAAATGTAAATTTTTTTTTTTTTTATAGATTTTAAACTAAACAATATACATGATACATTTTGAACAAAATTACAAAAAGATATTTTTTAGGTAAACAAGTTTATTTTNCCATTTCTGCGGCGCTCATATTTTGTGGCGGAGGGATATACCTGGGTCCCTGTTGTATAATCTTCTCAATTCGAGATGGAACAATTTCCCCTGTGTAATTGTGATACTGGGTTGGCTGTACTGGATTTTGTTGTTTGCGTGCCGCATTGCTAAGCCACTTGAATTTCTTGTTTAGTTTATCCCTCTCATCTCGTGCAAATTTCGATGCCATGCTGTGAATCTTTCCAAGTTGGTCGTAGAGTGAAACCGGGTCACAAGACTTTGCAAACTGCAGATGGGCAACATATAACTTAAGCTCAGCTTCCGCCAATGATTTGCGTTTCACTTTAATTAATTTTAAAAGGAGCGATTTCTCCATTTGTTTCAAAGCACCTCGCAGACAGAAAGGAAAGGCCTTGAAGTTAATGGTTATGCACTTTGGAACTATATGATGCGTTCTACACTTGAGCAGAAAGACTAGTTGGGCATGTAGTTTATGCCATAACTTTTGTAAATTTAACATAGAAAAGAAGAACATCCGAATTCTGTTACTCATCTTGTTAGGTGTATTGAGTTCACGGGTTGGATGTCACGCCAACTTATGTTAATCAAAACTTCCAAGAACGTCAGTCTATGAGGCGTTAAATATACTTGAAATTATTTTTAATTTACGAGCGCTTTCGACGTAAATAAGCACGTCGTCTTCAGGTAAAATTAAATTCGAATAAAGAATTCGAACCATACATTTAAATTTAAAACATTAATGATACTAGCCGTTTTTGAACATACAAAAAAGATTTTAAATTTAAATTTTTAGAATTTAATGTTATGAGAAATGTTATAAGAAATGTATGGTTCGATTTCTTTATTTGAATTTAATTTTACCTGAAGACGACGTGCTTATTTACGTCGAAAGCGCTCGTAAATTAAAATAATTTCAAGTATATTTAACGCCTCATAGACTGACGTTCTTGGAAGAAGAAGTTTTGATTGACATAAGTTGGCGTGACATCCAACCCGTGAACTTAATCATCATTGCTAAATTAAATAATTAGAAATTTAATTTTGAGTAAATATGTTACAAATCATTAATAGTAATTTTGTGTTTTTTAAACTATATTTTAAATGATATTACGATTTGCTACTTAGCTTTTCATACAAAACATTTTCATGATTCTGCATATCACTTGTTGTTTTGCCTAGATGCTACAGAACTAGAAGTAATTTAGTTTAGAAATAATAGTAATAATAAATTTAGTAGTAGTAATAAAATGGATAAGTGGATATTTTTAAAAATGTCTTCAAAGTGATTAAAAGAATTTGAGATAATGATATTTATGTCAAATTACTGTATATTTTAGATAGCCAACACATTTTGTGAAACAGAAAACATTCAGAATGATATAGAACATAAGCTGACTGTAGCCAGCTATTTGATTAAATGTTTTTTCATTTAATATAAAAATTGGTTTGATTTTATTTATTTGTAAACATGGTATGAACTTTTATGATAATATTTAAAACTGATCATTTGGGTCAATTTTAAATATCATTATTTCAAAAACAATAAATTTTGATAGAAGATTAATGATATTATTTTTAACAAAATACTCTTTGCCACACAAAAACACTTAACTTTATCCACAAAAATACTAACATATTGATTAATAATCAAATATATGTATTTATCTACAGTACTTTATATAATAGCTTAAAATCATCACAATACTTTATTCCACTTAGAAAAATGGTAATGATGGCATTGGGAATCAATGAATCATCATGAAAGTTTTGAATAAGCAAGCAAAGCCCTCTAGTTTCTTAAAGTTTTTTAAAAATTATTAATTTTTTTTGCAAAAGATTAAAACCACTCATTAAACTTTAAATTGAAAACTTTTTCAAACATACTTAGTTTAGTTGTACTAAAATTGTTCAAAAAAATTTCAACATGTTTATATTATACAAACAAAGTGATAAAGTAATCTTATTTTTTAATTTAGATATTTCAGTGTCCTCGTATGAAATTTGCAGAGATTCCACAACGTTTACATCAGTTACTGCATCCAGCAGATCCCATTGTTATCAATCATGTCATCAGGTAATTCTAATATTCATGTCAAGTCACATTATATCTGTCTTTTAAATAACTTAAACAGAAATTTCTTTTCTAGCGTGGAAGGTCCTGATACTAAAAAGACTGCATGCTACGATATTGATGTGGAGGTGGTAAGAACTGACTTAATAAACCTGTAGTTTAGATGTGAATTTGATGCAACTTTTAGCAACTGTTTATTTTTTGTCATACAGGATGATCCTTTAAAGGCCCAGATGAATAATTTTCTTCTGTCTACAGCCAGTCAGCAAGAAATTCAAGGATTAGATAATAAGGTAAATGATGGTGACTTTACAGATACAAAGTCTTTTAAAGTCTTTCTGACAGGATTTGTACTTTTCAGATTCACGAGACAGTGGAGACAATTAATCAGTTGAAGACTAATAGAGAATTTTTCCTTAGTTTTGCTAAAGATCCCCAACAATTCATCAATAAATGGCTTATATCCCAAATGAGAGATTTAAAAGTAAGTTTTTTAAAAACATATTTTGAAATCTTACCGATTTAGAATGTAATATAATAAAAAATTTCCATCCAAGACGATGACGGACGTTGTCGGAAACTCCGAAGAAGAAAGAAAATCGGACTTCTACTACCAACCCTGGGCACAGGAGGCAGTGTGTCGTTATTTTTACGGAAAGGTCCAGCAGCGTCGGGCCGAGCTCGAACAGGCCCTCGGCATCCGAAACACTTAAATCTAGATCTGACGATTTTTTCCATTCATTTACTATAGTGTTTACACATAAATCATTAATTAATGTAGAATTTGTTTTTTTGCACAAGAAACAACTTGTAATAAACCATCATAAAAAATATTTTTTGTTGTATTCTTTTTTTAATTATATTTGGTATATTAGAAAAATTTTTTAGATAAAGTGTTAAAGGAAAAATTGAAGACTTACATTTATACATTGTGAATATATTGTGAAGTTTAAGCCTGAAAAAATCTTCAAATATATACAATTGATAAAAATATAGAATACCACAGAAATAAATCCAGAAGTATCCAAAAGAGGGTTAACTCAGAAATTAAAAGTATTTGAATAATTAATAAGTATTTTTTAATGTGTGCAGGACATTTTATTACAGATGGTCCAATAAATCATATTTGTTGTCATAAATATTTTAAAAATAACATTTTTCTGTTAATGGAGAGAGGGATTAAAATGCTTTTTATTATTTTTAATAATGCTCTTAATCTAAAAATTGTTTATTGTTCAATTGCTTACTGTTCAAGTAGTTTCTATTCATTTTAACAACATAAAATGTATTCAACATTATTACAGATGCAATTATTAAATTGCATGTGTAATAATCACTCTACAGCTCTTGGATCTGTTACTGGAATAGTGTCTACAGATGCTCCATGTAGGTTTGTGGGTTGTTCACTGCACAAGGATGTCCACTCAAAATGGTATTTTGTTGATTATATATATGATAAAATTTATTTTTATGGCACTGTTTAAGGAATCACAAAATAATGGTTCATATGCAATATCTATATGATGTATCCTGCCCGTATTCATTTTGACACAATATGGCCGTGGTTACAGACATCTGGTATCTTCACCTTGTTACGATGGATGCACACAGGTCGCAAAATTAAGGCAACATTGAGTACAGTATGTTCGTAAAGTCGAACGAGATTGACGTCATCGTTATTCTTATTTCGTTAGCCTTTTCGAACGATTCGTCTATAACTAAATAGATGTTTCTAAAATCGAATATATGAATGTTTCTAGTGCAGCCTAATCCGAAATATTTTACTTAGATTGCTTCGGGTGATAGTTATTTATCAATCATTTCGCCTTTTAATTCACAATTTAAACACTCGAGTAGATTTAGAAACATCGATATCGTTGGGCACCATTTTCTAAGTGAACTAACTCTTTCCTTCGTGAACTTCGTTAGAGTTTTGTTCGAAATGTCATCACCACAGATCATGCGCACTGAGCGAGACTACTACTATTCGAACGATTCGTTACTAACTCGTTTGACTTTATGAACGTACACATTGAATGTCTATGACTGCTGCCATCAATAACTTCTTGATCTTGACAATTTGAATGTGTGATTGATTGAACCTGTTGTCAACAGGGGCGTGCCGTGACATTTGATGATAGGGAAGCTGTGTTTCTATAAGAAGCCGACTTCCAGGGGCAATCAGTTAATTCTTTCTTTAAATGTATTTTTAATAGATTATTTATCTGACGTACTTAATAAACAAGTTTAATATAATTACCTCTTATTAAATCCAATATATTCCATATGCCCTCTAAATGCCAATTCTCGCTTTGATAAAAACATATAACATNAGTAGATATATTTTATTTAAAAATAAACTACAAAACATAAATTATGAACTAATCTACCACCCCTATTGTTTAGCTTTATCAGAAAGTATTATCAAAAACAACATAATGCAAAGAAATTTTTTAGGATAATTTTTTACCATTACAAAATCAGGCTAGAATTTATATGTTTTTGTTTTTATCACAAACATATCATGGTTTACAATGGCTAAATTTTGATTTAATAAAATGTGAAATAATATTTTAACCATGTCATTTACCATCCTGAAATTTTGAAACATGGTCCTTGAAAGGTTCTTTGAAAAATCTTTGAATCCAGTTTTGCCAAAGCTGTGGGAACCCTGCATTGAGCCAGTACTGTTTGTTTTTCATGATTTGTTTTTTTTTTTCCTCCTCTTAGTTATATCCTGTTGACTTTAATATATTATGTTTTCCAGATCTCAGCAATACCACATAGTGAAGACAAAGAAGACACAACTACATACACACATATCACGATACCAAACTAAATTTTTATTGTTTCAGGTTGCCAGATATTCCCCTGGTCAAGATTACAATGCATCAATGAGATATTGCAACAATACTGTATTTTTATGATTTTAATATAACAAGTCATATATGTCTATATAAATTGTATAATTTAAGTATTTCATTAATTTGTAGTGGATTTTTCATTAATCTTAGCAAATATTTAGTTAAATGTCAGAATAATACATTTTTGAAATTTCAAAATCTTTTTTAAAAGAATAAAAAAAAATGATTGTGTAATTTCTTTTTTGTTAGTGGCATCGCACACCAACAACAACAGAAACAGATGGATTTCAAGTGAAAAGACCTGGAGATAAAAATGTTCGATGTACCATCTTATTGTTGTTAGATTATCAGGTAATAAAAGACAGTTTTTAAAATTTGAGATTTTTCATATTTATTAAAAAGTTGTAATTTTTATTCACAAAATTTGATTATTTTCAGCCACTGCAGTTCAAATTAGATCCTCGACTAGCTCGTCTTTTGGGAATCCATACACAGACTCGACCCATGATAATTAATGCTCTTTGGCAGTACATTAAAACTCATAAACTGCAAGATGCCCACGAGAGAGAATACATCAACTGTGACAAATATCTTGAACAGGTAAGTAAAATGCATTGCTTTAATAGTTGAAATTTAAACATTTTAAATTGGTGTTCTTGTGTACAGAAACTTCAATTTTTGAATATCTAGTTTCATTTTAACAAAGAGTTTATTAATTGAAGTGTGCAATGCCATGATATTCTAAATGCCATTTTTCTCTAAATACATTTTATTCAAGAATTGAATTATAAATGTAATGTTTTCTGCCATAAAAGAATATTGTGGCGATATCGGCACTGTAAGTGGCTGTATTTTGAAGATGAATTTATGTGAAGATATAATATTTAAAGTGTCGGAGTGCAAGTCACGTGACTTTTGGCACTTAAAATGTTACAGCTTATATTTACATCATTTTGATATTCCAGAGAATTTGTAACCTAGTGATTTTTTTACCATTTTATTGTAAAATTGAAATGAATTCATTCATTAGAAAAAAACCTCTTTTACCTCTCCTGAAAAAATTTTTTTTGGCATTTACAACATTATGACATTGGATACTTCNCTTAATTGAAACTAAATGAATGGATTAGATTCAAAAAGTTGTTACCAGGTTTACACAGAAATAATGAGAATGACTACAGACACTTTAAGTAATTTAAGTGCAACTGTTGCTGTCAGTTGCACTTAAAATACGTACGACCGTAGAAATGAATATATTTCACTTGTGGCCAAGCAGTTCCTTTTTCTAAACACTAGAAGTCCGGTCGTGGGTTCACGCCTCGTCCGAATGGGCTGGGCACGTGGAATTTTCCGGATTTTCTCCACGTCTGTAATGCCTTAATAGGGGCCGTCACTCCTAAAAGTCCTCCCGGAAAGCGTAATTCTCTGTATAACCATTTTAGCAGCATACAGCTACTATTTCATGACAATTACGTTCAGGGCCGGCCATCAAGGGGGTGCGGCGGATGCTGTGCACCGGGGCCCCGCGATTGAGGGGGCCCTAACATTGTCAAGAATGCACAAGAAAACTCGACAATATTCCTATCGTTGTCAGTATGACGAACAGTACATTTTATCGTAAACATTATTATTGTAATCTCTGAATTTCGACAATCTTCAAACTAATCCTCGGTGATGCGAATGTTTACTTTTTGTTATTTGATTCGGGAAACTCCCGAGGATGCCCACCTAAATTCGACTTTTAAAAAAAAATCTCAATACCATATATCCCGCGTTAAGAAATGAAAATAATACTATGGCTGTCGGCTATATAAAATTATATGTATATTTGCATATATTCGTAGTTTTAAGTTAATACGACTCTGTTCTAATGTATCATATAAACAGAATAAAAAAAATTCAAAAAATAGAATTGTGCATCATTTAGCACATAGATCACAAGAACAAATTATTTCTGCGTTAGGAGATGAAGTCCTTGACAAAATTAAAGACGATATAAAAGCAGCCACATACTATAGGAATCCAAATGGATTGTACTCCTGATTTTTCCCATAAGGAACAAACTTCAATTATTATTAGGTATGTAAATTTTGAAGAGAAAAGATTAATTATAAATGAGTCATTTATAAAGTTTATTGAAGCAACTGATGTTACTGATGAAGGACTAGCAAACACTATTGAAAACATAAGTGTGCTTGATTTAGATATTATGAATTGTAGAGGGCAGGGATACGACAACGGTAGCAACATGAAATGGAAATATAAAGGTGTACTGTACAATCTAGAATAATTGCTCTAAACCCTCACGCAATATATGTGCCTTGTCTACCACACTCTTTTAATTAATTTATTAATTTGTGATGCTGCTTCCAGCAATATATATTGTAAAATTTTTTTGGGAATATTGCAACGTTTATATTGTTTATTTTCTGCATCTACAAAGAGATGGGAAATTCTACAAAATCATTTAAACATTACTTTTAAACCATTATGTGACACTCGTTGGGAAACCAAAATAGATTCGGTTAAATCAGTGTACATGTTACTGTGAAAGACCGAAATTAGAGAATGTCGATATTCTCCAGTAAATGTCGACACATACAAAATACGTCGGTGAAAGACCGAATATTTGGTTATATTATTAAACATTCGAACAATCGCCGGTGTATGTCGACAAGCACAGATAAGCTTTGGTGGAGGTCGAAACGACACTCGAAAAGCCGATGTCGACAGAGAGGCGGCAGTCTGTGGCCAAATCCTTTGTGGATAGTCGGAGGTAGGACAAGGTCGTACCTCTTTTCCTGGCAACGGTTTGGTGGAAATCGCCCACTTTGTCACTGGATGGAGTTTTTGTTCTTTTGATCCCGTGATGTGGGGATCGGTTAGTCAGGTCGAGTGGCGGAGGATGAGAGGGTTCGTCGGTAAGGCGTCGGCGATATCCGAATAAAAGACACCATTAACAGATCAGTTCGTAATCACGTAATTACGTAATCAGGTTGTAATTTGTAAAGAAAAGTTACTTTTCATAGATGAGATTTCTTCTCAAGAAATATCGTTGAGTAAAGCAGCTACAGCTAAATCGAAAGTAGAGGGTAAGGCTATACAGTAGACTCTCCTATAACACTGTAGATATTTCCGTGTTATATGAATTCCATGTTGTACGAGTCACTTAGATTTTACAAATACGTGAGCCGTTCACAGCCCGACACACGTATTTGTAAAATCTAAGTGACCCCTACAGTGTTATAGGGGTCTACTGTACACGCTGTCATTGCAAAAAGAAGTGTTCCACGAATAAATGCAGTTGTAAAAGCGAGGGACTCAAAGTGCCATAAGAGTTTAAGTTATTGCAATAAATAAGATTGTACAACGTCAATCACATAATTTATGTGTAAGTTTATTATTGTATTATATTCTTTAATGATTTAGAACGTACTGTTCGTTTTAGGTTCAACAGTTTATTTACATGTGCCGTTACTTAAGCTTTCTCCTATTTTGACATATTAACGTAATAAAAATATTTTTATTGAGCATTCACCATCAGTGCGTGCCGAATGTCGACATTTGCCGGTGTAAGTGAGAAATGATTATATTTAGCAAATATTTCGTACATACACGAAACGACTGTGTGAATGTTGACATTCGCCAGATATCGGTCATTCACAGTAACATATACACAGTTTGAACAAACTTGTAATGCCCTAGAAGAATTTATTTATGTAAGTAACGATAATACAGCGGTATCCGACGCTAAAAGTCTATTGGATTCAATACAAGAAATGCCATTTATTTTATGGTTTGCAATGTTGTGTAAAATCAACGCTATCAATATTATTTCAAGCAAAAACAATTATTCTTGAGTCGGCTTTTAATTTAGTCAATAAAATTAAAACTGAAATCCAAAATTTAACACATTTTTAGACGAAGTAAAAGTGCTAGCACGTAATTTGAATATTTCAGAACATTTTCCTGAAAAAGGAAAAGGTTATATTCCGAAATAGCAGATGAAGCTTTAGAAAACCCGGTAGAGGAATTTTAGATGTTATTTTTTTAACACTCTAATTGATACTGTTATTGTACAAATAGAAGATAGATTTAAAAGTATACCAAATATTATTTCTGATTTCAAATTAATCACTGATATGAAAACCTTAGAAAAACATGAATTAGAAAAATGTTCCAAAAACTTTGTAAAGTTTTATAACAAAGATGTAGATGAAAACCTAATCCAGGAAATTGGTTTGCTACGGGATTTGATTTTGAATGAAAGGGATGTAAATAACGCACAAGACATATGCAATACATACTAAATAATAATTATAATGAGTTATTTCTAAATGTATTAACTGTGTTAAAACTTTTCTTTGCGTTGCCAGTTACTATAGCAAGTGCTGAGCGCTCTTTCAGCAAATTAAAATTAATGAAGAATTATCTTCGATCCAGCATGTGTGCAGAACGCATAATGCATTTGCTATATTAAGCATCGAAAAAGAAATTGCAAACATTATAATTTTCCTGAAGTAATTCATGTATTAGCAAGAACAAAATCACGCTTTAAATAAACATGCATTGATATATGTTCGTGTTTGTAATTTTTTTTATTTTACAAAAAATGTAGGGCTCAAATAGTTTCTTGCACCCGGGCCCCTTTATAGAGAAGGCCGGCCCTGATTACGTCACACTTTACCACGGGGCAATAGAATTTAGAAGCTCATGCCCAACTAGCAGATACGATACGAAATGAATAAGAAACTTACCGATCGCTAGTGAAATAAAATGAAATCACTTGGAGGGACGCCTCATGCAATTCGCCTTATGCAATACTGGCAAAAAGATTAAAAATAATAACACTAGAAACTAGGAAACTTTAAGATCTATATTTAATTAAACAAGGAAGGATATCAGAGTAGGCTGTCAGTAAATCTGCATTTTATTTTACTTTTAATGGCTCGGAATATCTTGTAAGCTAGTAAATGTGTAGACACAACGTAAAGGTCATAAAAAATGCAATTTTAGGTGTAAAAAATACAAAGTAAAATACAAAAATACATCCTAAATACTGTTTATTATTACTGAATTAAATAAAATTGTGTACTTCACGTAGGCCTAGTATTAAAATTACTATTTATCGTATGTAGGAAAATGGGAATAGAATTCGGATCTAAAATTTTCTTTGACATGTGTACTGTACATATTTTACATTGCTTTACCAGAGATTTCTCTCTACATAGCGCCAAAGTCGCTACTTGGTGATATTTTTATTAAAGTGGCAATAAAAATATAATACTAGCGATAAAAACTAGTCTACTTATTTTCAAATTTAACGTTAAATTGAATTACAAAGCACAAAAATCAAATATGTTATTCTGTATTATTCGTTAAAAAAAATTATTCTAAAGTAAATTTCTATTTCTATGCCACAGCTTAATTAACCTTGAGTCAAGCGCCCCGAGGCGCTATCGCGATGTAGGGCGCGAGGGGAGCTATAGTTATCCAGTTTCAAAAATCGATTTCTTAAAAATCATAGTTTTATTCGTTGTTATTTTGATGTTAGGTGTTTGTGGGAATAGGTTTTTGAAGTCCTAATCAACAAAACTACTCAAAATATATCGTTTTTATATATTTATAACGAAAACAAAAAAAGTCTTACGTTTTAGAAACTTTTCTAGAAAAAATAGTTAACTTTAGAAACGTTTTTTACAAACTGTAAGCAAGTCTGTTGCAATCTAAGCTCTTATTCGCTTTCTTATATGTGTATTTTAACTTTCCCAACCATTAAATGCTTTGTCATAAACCCCGGGCCAAAAATATTTTAGTAGGCTATTTCAAAAAACACACCCCCTGATATTCTACAGCAACTAGAGGAAAAAAGGCAGATTATAAGCAGATAACATCGATAGTAAACTTCTTCTACACGGTAGTTGGTTAATTTCTTTGTCTGTTTATTAAATCAACAAATTGTTCATCTGTAAAAATTATTGCCGGAAAAATTCTCGCGAAATTCCACGTCCCCTCAGATTACCATTTCGAATTATGTAAACAATCGTTATAAAATCGCTTGTTTTAATCGTTTTTTCACTTCTAATTTACTAATGAAAAGTTGTTTGATAGTATTTAGACGAATAAATATGTTTTCAAAACCGTTCAGCAATAAATATTTCCGAGAAACTCTACCTTTCATACTTTCAATGCTAAGTCTATGGGAGTATTTGCCGTTAACTAGTGTTGAAAATCCTGTTTATGTTCCAATTGGTCATTTCTATCATGACTGACCCCCTATCAAGAATCAGCATTCTTTCGGAATCTGACTCGGTTCCAACCCTTCCAATTTTCGTTCTAATTAAACTTCCTTCATTAGGCGCTCAGGATACCACGGTTACCATAGAACTTCGGTGTGGCTTCGTGTAAACATTTTTTTTCGTACAAATTTGAAATTCTTTCAGTGCGATCTTCAGTACTTTGAAGGAAGGTACTGAGGACATTATTTTCCAGCATTTAATTGATAAAAAACATACACGCACTTTAAAATGGCTGGTCAACACTTGTTCCGTGCACCTAACCTTAACATGTAATTTTTGTTTTCCAGACTTCGAATTGATAAAGATTTCAGCACCAGCATAAATTATTAACTAAAACTGGTAGCGATAAGTAATTTTAAGTTACGAAAAACATTAAAAACTGTCGAAGTGGATGAAGATTTATAAAAAGAACAAGTTATATATTTCGGAGCAAGCCATTATTTACTTAGTGATATGTAAATTTATGGCATGTACGTAAGATCGATAATTTCGCTACCAAGTTTGTATAATTTTAATTTTCGCAATAAAATTGTATTAATGTTATTTTATTCAAAGCCAAATTCCTTGTAAAATTTACACTGAAATCAATGGAAATGGTTTGATGAAGATTCATTTAAAAAATGTGAAAATTTGGTGATATATTCTGTGTTATTTCTAATCTTTTTGCCAGTATTGCGTGAGGAGAATTGCATGAGGACGTCCCTCGAAGTGACTTCATTTTCTACCACTAGTTATCTAGTAAAGTGTAAAGTAATTGTCATGAAATACTAATTGTATGCGTTTGTGATGGTCGTTATGCGGAAAATAACGCCTTCCGAGAGGAATTTTAACAGTAACTGGCCCCTATTCAGGCGTTACAGTCGTGGAGAAAACCCGGAAGACTCCACGTGACCAGCTCGTTCGAACGAGGCGTGAACCCACGACCGGAATTTTAACGTTTAGAAAAAGGAACTGCTTGGCCACAGGTGAAATATATTCATTTCTACGGTCGTACGTATTTTAAGTGCAACTGACAGCAACAGTTGCACTTAAATTACTTAAAGTGTCTGTAGTCATTCTCATTATTTCTGTGTAAACCTGGTAACAACTTTTTGAATCTAATCCATTCATTTAGTTTCAATTAAGTTTCGTAGCTTTTCTTACACGATACGTAACATTTATAGTGTACTTTTATATACAAGATTTTATACCACGAATGTTTAATTGTTGCAAAGTACAGTTATTGGTGTGAATATTTCAGTTACGGTAGACACGACGAATAATACATTTAACACATTATACGGGTATATAATACTGAAAAATTATTGACGACAACAACTAAACCATCGTCTTAATTAATTAATTATCAAAAATTGCAAAAATATTGAAGGAGTCCGATACGTTCCGGTTAAGTCTTTGGTGGGAGTTGCATTCGTTCGCTTTCTCCTTTCCTAACTTCGCTAACGTCGACAAAATGGAATGAAGTGCACTTATAGCCTGAAAAATAAAGCTTCATTAATTAAGCTAAAATGTTCGTGTTTATTAATTTAGTAACTGCTGGAAATTTCAAGGAATCGCTGTATGTTAATACGAAAAGCTCGTTTAATAATTATAAAATTGAAAATTTAAATTTTAGGACCATTTTAAAGACAGTTTTACTTCGATGGCCCGCTTAAAACCACACGATAAAATGTTATTCTGAATATTCAATAATTGCGGGTAAATACCTTCATAAATGCTCGAGGGGACTTTCTAGTATTTCTGCAGGAGTCAAACGTGTAGAGTGAAAGATAACAAAGTGGGACTCACTCTAATGACAAAATTTTTCTTGATGAAGAAGAATCCTCCGACAGAAATGCCAATCGGGGTCTTTCCGAACCGCTTCATAAAGTCTAGAATCTAATTAGATAAATGCTTTAAAGACAGTAATTATCAATATAACAAAAGTGAAATTAGCAAAGGTCTACCTTCAGTTTGGTTTCAATTTTGAAGCGAAGAGAGGAAAATCTTCTGATTTCGACGAAATCGTCGTACAACTGAAAAGAGAAAAACAGTTAACGGGTCTTTTTATTGTTTAAAATATATTATCGAAAAACTGTTAGTTATAAGTTTATTCTGCAAAACAATCTAACTAATATACAGTGGGATGGAAAAATCCTTTCTCAGTGAGTGGAGAAACGGAAGGAGTTTCCGGGAGCGAAGTAATAACGTAACGGGAGTAGACTACTGCGAAAGGACTTTACGATCGCAATTAGAAGTTCTATAGAATAAAAGATACACTACATAAAACAACTGAAATAGCTTTTTATGGAGATTTATGGAGTTTAATGGAGATTTTAAGAAAACTAGGACACGAGGAAATGCCTTTTCTCTCGTGTCAATTTTAAATTTGTATAATTTTTCGGTACGAAGTCACGGGTACTGTAATATATTAATTGGGCAGAAAATATAAAGAATAATTAAATATTAAAGCAACAAGTTAACATTTCAAAGATAGTATTATACAACTGAAAACAGCATTTACCTGAGAAGTTAAATGTGACAAAGAGAAACAATTGATAAGAAATGCGGACATTGAACCTATGCATAAAACCGACATAACGATTGTGAGAAACAAATTTATGTCGATAAATGCCACTACGTAAATGAAGAAACTAATTAAGTACAAGGCCGTTGCATATATTAAGGGGAAGATATATTTATACATTTCGTTTACTCGATCAAAAAAGTCTATTATTTCCGTGTGCTTTTCTATAATCGTGTTTAAGAATATGTGCAGACCACCGTTTTTTGGGTCTAAATCCTTCGTGTCCGTCGACAACCGCTTTAGTCTGTTATATATTATAAATCCAAGAAAAAGGGACTGCAAGAAAGTTAAGAAGAGGATAGCAAAGACATATATGAAAGCGATATTCCCAATAGTACTGCACAAGAACGCTTCTTTCACGCCTTTCCGGTACGCCACAATTGGAAATAATAATAAATCGCCTATAATACAACAGGAAAGTATGCAAATAAATATGCCATAAACGAAATTAATGCAATTTGTTCGAAATATTTGGATAAAGTAACTTCTTCTTTGTAACTACTTTTGTTGTATTGAAATATCAGTTTCCGTCTTTTAAACATGCTGAATATCAAAGAACAAAATAGATATAGAATGGTGTATATGTATCTGAGAATGACGTTACCAGTTCCGAAAACGTTCACCCAATCAGCACACGGGACGTCTTGGAAGAAGATTTCGAGCAACTGTCGAAGTGTCAACGACCACAAGAAGATTTCTATTATTATCGCATAACACGCGTAAGCTCTTTCAATCAACGCACGAAATTTAGTATTTCTCGTATTGTTTTGGCAATGGCAGTCCGCCGTTATATTCATAGCAAAGACTTTCGACACTGAAAGAAGAAAGTCGATCAGACAAACAGGACAGCTGGCATTTTTATCTAAATCCATTGGATCTCACGGCTGTTAGTCACGAAATACAAGATGTTGGATTTATTGAAGAAATTTCGACTGTGGAATATTTTATTTACTGTTTAAAATTGTCGCGTTGTTAATAATATTTGGAAAATGACACTTTTGGAAATAATTTGGTTCGGCGAAACTTCGATTAAGCCCTTAACAATTTTCTATATACTAATGTAGAAAAATCTGATAGAAGCTGGTTGAGCAGTACTGAAAATTTTTATCGAACGTGAGTCATGTGTGACGCGGACTAAGTGTATCCAGAAAATTAATAGATGCTTGTTTATTTACGCTACTTTTCAATTAAGGAAAAATGCGACGAATGTTATATTACATTAATTTAGAAGCTCAAGTGGTTTCGTGCTTGAAAATATTGGAAATTCTCGTCATGCCAGATTTCAAGCCTGTGTTGGAAACGTATATGCTTTTAATGCATTAAGGACGTTTGCGTTAGTGAAACTTGTTTGTTATTAATGAATTAAGCGCTTTAAGTGGCAATAATTAGTTTCGTTGCAAAATGATAATGCTAATGCTAATGTTGTTTTTTGTTTGTTTAGTTATGGCAACATAACACTTGGTCTGCCTGGGGGGTGCCTTCCGGAAAACTGGCCCGTTTAGGCGTTACGGATGTGGAGATAACTCGGAAAGCGCGTGGCTAGCTTGTCTGAGCACTGCGCGAACCAACTTAATTTCCTATTATCAATTTACGACATTACGCCTGTATATTTTTTTCTGTAAATTGTATAATTAGTCTTTATCGTAGTATACTTTATTGTACTCTGAGTCCAATCTTTTAATTTTTCTTTCAATAAAATAAATTTTATTTATCTTACATGATTAAGTAATAAATAAAGTCTAAACGACTGTATAAAATTATATTCCGCTGGTGAAAGTACAATATTCTGCAGTACGTTAGTAATTTATAATAATTGAATCGATAACCGAAATACTATAATACTTTTCTTATTTTCGTTAATTTGCCGGGTTGTAGAACGAAACACCAAGAACACGCGATCGCGTATAATGTAATACGAAGACACGATCGCGTGTCTTCGTATGACATTATATAATACATTGGAACATGTATTATACAGACCTACAACCATCCCTCATTTATAAGTATAAATAATTCAAAAATTTCGATAGAAATGGTCCTATTAAGCATATAAAAGTACACCATTTATACTAAATAGACCACACAACTATTCATTGAAAAATACATGAATTATGGTTTACAGTTTAAGGGAGGATTACTAAAAGTATTGTTCGTCATTTTATACAGTAGAGATAGGGAGTCAAAAATAGCTGAAAAATTATACACGCAATTAATAAACGTTCCCTAATTTGTTAGGTAAATTTTAAGCATTCCANATAGTAATAAAATGATGACATTTAACTAAATTTTCTCCACTTTGTGAGGTTTTCCTCGCCTAAATTTTGCACCATAAAGTGTTTTGCTTTATCAAAATGATTACAGAAGCACAATTATGAAATAACACACACAAAAAAACAATATTTATATTAAAAACATCTCTTAAATAATAGTTTTGTACTCGTGATTAACCTTTCCCTCCCAATCTCGTTTGCTTCATTTCACATTGAAGAATACCAATGAGGCTCCAGAAAGAATAAAAGTTAAAGGTGTTAATTTACTTGTTCTCACTTACATAAACATTTGAAACTGTTATAAAAATAGAGAAATCCCGTAGGTAATTACCGTAATAGATAAAAATAAAACAGAGAGGAAGGTCAAGTTCAGTTTTTGCAATTCTTAGAAATCGCCGACAGGAAACTGCAACTTTTCCTTATTTATTTCCAAGTATTACTCTTAAACACGTGACAGAACAGTCTGGCGTAACGTCATCGAACTTGTGTTTGTTTTATTAAAGGCTAGAAAATGCCAGATCACACATATAATCTAATGATGACAAAATGTGGCCTAAATATCTTGGGTTTATGAAACTAAAAGGTGAAAAAACACAATATCTGCTAATTATTAACTCCTATTAGCACGTGTATGTGCAGTAAACACTACTGAACATACACGTACTAATAGTCTAGTACGTGAAAGCATATACTCTAGCTTCATTGTGTGGCACTTATAACGTAGTAACACTCCAGAAGAAGGATCAACTTATAGTAAAATGTCTTCAAAAAAGACAAAGTACAATGTTGACAAATTACACTATTCTGTACAGCAGGAACTTAAAATGCCACTTCAGATATGTGATGACATTGAATAGTTCTGTGGATATATTTCACACAATTGACTTAGTAACAGTTAATTCAACAGATTTTACAATTAAAGTGACTTAATTTATGCAGTAAGTCATTCTAATGCCAAATAACTTTTTAGGGTATAGTTTGAAATAAGATATCCTGTTTCAAATTACAATATACAATCAAGTAAAATACACATTAAATCCTCCTCTCATGTCTTTATTCAATTATTAACAGCTTTCTCCCATTACTCAAAATAAAAAACTGTTTATACTTTCAATTGTTACTTTAGATAAGAATCAGTTCAAACCATTGTTTTTATCACACTTAACAAGGCAACCTTGAAATGTTTATGTTTAGAAACACAACTTACAACTTCCGCTTAACTTTTTTAGGTCACACTTTCATCAATATATTTATGTGTCATAAGTAGGAAGCTTATATCAGTGTTGAAATGGTTAAGAATGTACAGAAAATCCTCAGAATTTATAAAAATATAAAAACAACAAAAAGGAGATTTGTTTTTTAATCAAAACTAATTGCTGATTTATATTCTTATTTCATCAGCATCATTAAAGATATCTCTTTTACAGATATTAGAGATACTATCAAGTTTTCTCCTGTCATCTCACCTAGATTTTATCCATACTTATATGCTTAAAAATTTTATTTACTCCTTCCTTGATAGGTCTGATAGAAAATATAAAAGAAATATTGGCAGTCACACTATTGCATTCTTACTGTTTATAAAATGGAATAAGTAACATAAAATAAATTATTTTCATGATAAAGTTTTGCTTCAAAGTATCAAATAATGCTTTCTCCATTTTTTATTATTATTATTATAATGATTGATCTATTCTTTCTCTCACTACATTACTATGGTTTCTGTCATTTTGCATTATCGTCTCTATTCAGTTTATTTATTAGTTGGCTTCTTTTCAGTCTCAGCTCTCTGTATCTATACATAAATTTTCTACCATTCCATACTATATATNATATCAGTGTTGAAATGGTTAAGAATGTACAGAAAATCCTCAGAATTTATAAAAATATAATATATTATTATATACTTTCACCAGATATACAGGAAAATTGAACAGTAAATACATAAATTAGTTATTAAAATTTACATCAAAACCATCCAATTGTAAAAACTAGTTACAATAAATACTACTTATAAAAGATTCCTTTGGAATCGCATCACACTAGTAAACAAATTGTTAAAATCACATCAAAATTGTTTCATTAAGAAAATTCCGTGGTCGAATTACAAATTTTAAATGTCATAAAATGTCCGCAGAAGTTACAAGCCTCGAGTAAAAAGGTTACATCACGTTAACAAGCAAATTTACAAGCGAGAATTGTGATATTATTATTCTCTAGTTTGTTTATTACTATTAAAA